CTGCATCAAACAAGTTGCAAAAGCACAATTCCGTGGCAAATCCTTTTAATATCGTGTTAAAATCCAAAATAACTCATTAGGCATATGTAAATACAAACATATAAAAGAGAGACAGGTTCCGCTCGCCGATATCCACTCAAACAGCAATAAAACCTCAAGAAAATTGGAACGAGGCGAGCGTGCGCATCCCGCCGCTCACGTGTCTGGCGCAGCAGCCGACCAGCTTTGTTTTGGTAAACATCGAGACTCGAAGCCAAAGGAACGCGATTTCGTTTCCCTTCATTTCCTCCTCTATGGCACGGCTGGGGACGTTATAGCAGGGGAAAAAACGAGAGCCAAACTTCATAAGGTGAGGAAGGAGGAGAGATCTGTACTTGACGATTTTTTTTAAAGCGGGTTTTAAGAAATGTGACAAGATGGAAGCGCCGAAGTAGTGCTTGTTTTTTACACCACGATTTCTGGAGCTTTCGCACTTACTTGGGCGACTCTTCAGAAACCTTGGTCTAATGATCAAAATCTAGGCTATTCTTCCAGGTTATTTATTGCTTAGCGAAAGTTGTGTGGCGTTCAGTATATTTCCTTCTGCATTTCACATTATTTTTGAGATACTAGTTATATCTAGTTCTTGCTCTTTTCTTCCAACTTCAGACTAACTACTGTATCTAATCTTCTATTCAAACACACACTTTTGGTCTTTATTATTAATACTCAAAAGACTGGAGTAATTTTGTAGTGGTAGTCTCCCGTACCCATTAGATTTACAGTCTTAGAAATAGATGGATGATTTATAAAGTGCATATTACTGTAAACTCTTGGTAAATTTGGGAAATATGGCTATTAGGAATTTTGTGTGGAATGTTTTTTTAGTTTTGATATCTCTTGCTTTTTTGAAAATTAATATAGTGCTCATTCCCGTTGCAAATGTGGCACAGCTACAGTATTGGCCCTGATAGCTGGGACGGGTATGATAAGTATCAGGAAAATTGCAGAGTATTTATTTATAGTTTAGCTATTTTGATGGACTATATCAGTGTTTTCCAAACTTAATCTGGTTGTTACTCACTTTTTATACATAATCCTTGTCTATGGCCGACCACCAAGCATAACACATGACTTCTGTGACTGTCTACAGTCTTACACTCATTAAGTCCATATAAAAACTACTCTAGCAAATCCCGTGTTTTTATAGATTCCATATGTTATTATTATAGAAATTGTATTACCTTTACTGGAATCTCTTTTAATTATTAAAATGGCACTAGATAAGTAACAGTGCACATTAGCCCAATTACGACAGGCGTCCCACATATGAGACACCTGGAAAAATAAACATTGCCGGGCGTCCCGCCAGTGTGACGTTGGATCGAAGCTTGAGCTTTGATTCCGCTGCGGGGTGCGGCCGGCGCGCTTGCAGATTCCGGGCCAGCCCTTTGCTTTGATTTTGAAGCCGTCCGGAAAATATAATTTTTGGCTTCAAAATATACAGGGGCTAATGGGTTAATAATGTCTATACTAAGAGTAATAATAAAAAAAAACATTATTTCAAGAAGCTATTTCAGCAATAAAAAAAGTTGTAAAGAAAAAAGAAAAAAGAAAAAATAGACAAATAAAAAATAAATCACAGCTTAGAATTGCTTTAAAAATAAATTATTTACTACCTTAACATGTGTCAGTGTCTTGTTTTATGCCATGGATACTTTATCCAGACTGTAAAGTTTAGTCTGCTGTGCAAAAGTTATTTTGTCAAATCCTGTTCGCACAAATAAAGTTCTTGGGTAGGCTAACTTTTCGCACATGCATAGTTCTTTTTTTAAATCATCATCTGCGCATAAAATTCATTTGACCTTTCTGCGCACTTGTTTCATCATCTGTCCACGCAAATGTACACAAAATGATGTTTTCTGCGCATGAAAGAATGTAATATTATCCGCACAAAAAAAATGCTGTACAATCTGGCACGAGAAAAGGTAATCACACAGACCAAAAGGGGACTCCTTACTCATATGTCAGGCAACAGGCATTGCACAAAAACCTCTACTGAACCCTTTGGTTGTATATATATACATATCCCGCACAATCTGGCACATTAAGAGAAAAAGGTAATCACACAGACCAAAAAAGGGACTCCTTACTCCTCAGATAATGATCTACATTCTGCTATGTGGCCCACAGTTAGGGGACCAGTGTACTATAAAGTAATTAGGCTCCTTTTAAGTGGAGGCTACTACCCGTTACCTCTATGTGACCTACAAAATCTGCACCATGTCAGTTCTAGGAGGAAAGAGCCCAGGGAAATAAGCATAAGTGCTACATATTTATGATGTATGGGGGCTTCTGATTATATTCTTATTGGCTCTAAGGGTTTATCATCACATCATAGCAAGGTAGAGTTCTTATTGGCTCATTTAGTTTTCCTTGTTTATGTCATCTGCTGCAATTCTGTGTGATTTTGTTGCTGGTAGAATATATATCAATGAACTGGAAATTTAGAGTTTTACATCCTCCCTACAACTTCCAATTTTCAAAGGAAATGTTATAAAAGAAAAGTGAGAGAATGTTATGTTCGATTGGATGGCAAGGTCAGATTTGTCAATTTTGGTGTTAACCCACTAGCAACGGTACATTTTCAAACCGAAAATAATATTTTCTAGTCATCTTAAAAATCGGCATATGGGCAAGGCTGGGAGCCTGCCTGTGCGCTGCACACTACAGGTGAAAAAATCAGAACGTGAGCTCTGGTCTAGCATTGCACTGGTGGGACACCCGTTACTGTTTTCTTTTCTGGGTGTCTCATATGTGGGACAACCATCATAAGTGGGTTAAGTGGGATTTCCAATAATAACAAACTTTAACATCACAGATTGAATAATTAAGTTATTTGATATAAATAGTGTTTAGCATAGGAGCATGGAAGGGTCGAAAGAACTGTGGCAATAGTCACAAATACATTACCATTAGGGTTGAAATATAATCTGCAGACCGTAAAAAGGTGCAATGTAGTTCTTGACAGTTAGTGTTTCATGACTGACAATATATGTAATTGATAAATTTATGTGAAATTGTATATTACATATCCAGTATGAAGTGAAATTGAAAAGTGATTTGAAATAGAAGTATGATCATTACAGCAGTTCTTTTGGCCTTGATTGATGCATTATTGTGTTAACTAAATTGTATTTATCAAGAAAAAAACATCTGTGGAAAGAAAATAAAGATTCTTATTGTCTGTAGAAAATATCCTTTGTGAACTAACCGTGTATCAACAAGTCGGTCATAACTCAGGACTTTTTCATGTTGCTTATTGGTTGGTACATCATGTATCTTGACTGTATATTTGAGATAGCTAGTTCTAAGATAGTTCTTGCACAGTGATGATGCTTGTGTGTTTTGGATTCACTTTGAGATATACATTGACTGTGTTGGATGTAGATTGATACACCCAGGAGGTTTACCACCAGATATGGAACCAATTCAAGATCAGTCCTGCCAGATTGTATGTGGAGGATGATTTTTAATTTTAACTGGTTGGTTGCCCTGATCTCTGCTCAAAATCCAGGCTTGAGTGGCAAGTCTCCTAGGTGTGTGGCTTGTAGGCCTGGCTCACACTAACACTCCTTTCCTTCTACATAAGCCTTTTTTTTCTGTTTTACCATTTCCAAGATTTATATTTTCATTTGATATGCTGTATCTGGATGGTAACAGACTGCCTTTTTCACATAGATTCCATATCATCTCTCTTGATAATCTACAACTCTCTGCAATGAAAATAACAATAAGTTCAATTGTGTTATTTCTGTTACTGTTTAGTATTTTCATGTTACTCAATTTTCTCAAATACACCTTGTGCCAGTGGTCATGGCAGGCAGGGATAAGATCCTGAGCATGGAAATATTGTCGTCCCTGGAGCTGGCACTTTTCCAATAGTGGGTCCCGAATTGTACTTTCCACACTTGTTTCTCAGTGGAAATAATGTAAGAGGTACTTCCTTAACCCTTTGGATCTGGTTGCATCACGGAAATCATGGTGCTGAAAACCCAGGTAATAGGTTACGTAAGTGGCTGGGCGTACATGAATACCGATGAGCGTGACTCTGTGCCTCTCCTTTGCAAAGTTATTTTGTGTAATATCTTTTAGCTTTATCACCATTTTCCAATGTCCATATTTGTCTTTTGATTTGCTTTATCCAGATAGTGATGGCTTATTTTCTTTGCACAGACTCCATGCCATCTTTCTTTGTAGTAAATAATGGGGAGGATATGGTTAAATTTGCTGATGATATACATTTTAAAAGGTAAAAGAAAGTGGAAAAAGTTAAAATCTTTATTTTCCTTGCCAGGGGTTCTATCCCTGGACCCCACCCTGATCATTGAGTTCTATTCCTTTACCCACCCTGATCGCTGTATATGCCTGGCTGGGAACCCTTTCTAATCGCTATAAATGTAGTCCCTTAACATTAAGCAGATTTTCTACTCATTTTAAGATGTAGAATGAGCTGCTTCAACCATTACATCATTATGTACATTAACATTAAGCAGATTTTCTACTCATTTTAAGATGTAGAATGAGTTTACCTTATGGTGAGATTAATTTCTGCAGCTGGAACAGTTATTGTATGTCATTGAATTTATTGTTTCCCTGAGATTGTAAGATTTTCAATGAGTTTATTATCACCAGAATAAAGGGAATAGATTTGGAAACACTGGTAGCACTATAAATAAACTTTACTTCTGAAATTAACAATGAGTAATGTGGCAAAACAACTGCAAATAGATGTCTGCAGATTCATGATGTGTGGTGATTTAAAGAATATGCCTTTGTTAAGTATTTACTTCAGCATAATTAGACTGGAATTGAAAAACAGAAATACATTAAAATGCTGTGCAATTCTGAGAGTGACAAGGACTGGCTGTGACATCACCAACTCCATGGGCCAAGGCAGTTTATGAATGATTACTGTGCAGCTAAGTTGTTCACTTTAAGGTGTGGGAATTCTGAGCCAAAGGCTAGATCTAGTCATGGGAGGTGCAAGAGTAAGGGAGAGTGAAAGGAAGAGAGAAAGTGAGAGAGCTAGTAGAGTGATAGTAAGAGAGATAGAGAGCGAGTGAGAGAGAGATAATGATTGAGGGAGATGATATTAGTTTATTATATTACTAATTTATATCATTATATTTATATCGGTCAATCAATATGTGACTATATACATGATGAAAACATCTTAGAATTCAGAATTGACTATGTCTGATATTTTGAACTCTTGGTGACCCCAGAAAAAAACGCTTGGCAACCCCAGGGTTGGGAAAGGCTGTGAACACCACATAATTTTTTTTTTTTTTTTTTTTATGATGATAATGTCTCAGTGGCCTTTTTTCATACCCCCCAGGCTAATAATGTATGTCTCAGTTAGAAGACACACATTATTAGATACTTTTATTATTGTCAAAGGGAAATTTACTTTGAAATCATGTGCCATAGAATTCACTTGAATCAACAACTAGCAAGTCTCAGGAACATATAAACTTGCAACCAGCTGTAGCAATAGCGATTAGAAAAAAAATACAGTTTTTTAATTTGGTTTTTTTATTTGTCAAATGAGACCAAACTCGAGAAGCAGCATACCTATAATACCAGCATACCAATCTGAAAATAAATAGCAAAGAATCCAGGTTCCATATTAAAGGTACCCCAGATTATATAGTGGCGGTCTCCTTTACTTATGGTATTCTTTACTCTTGGCTTTGGCATACATTATTTTTTCTCAGGGAATGAGGCTAAAAAGTGAGTTTGAGCTTGCTTTTAAATGTAGATAGCAGTTGCAGGAAACATACACTTCCTTTGCTCTGCAGTCTCTTGAATTTGTGGGAGATAAGGCTTAAAAACGAGTTTAAACTCACATTGAAGGGGCTGGATCTCCTCAGTGACCGAAGTCGGCAAACAAGCGGTAGTTTCAGTTTTGCCCCAGTTTTAAAACTTTGATGCAGAGTGCAAAGTTTGTTAAAAAAAAAAAAAAAGAAGAAGTAAAAAAAAGCTTATGGCTATATGTAAGTATTGTGCATTAATGAGCTTGCTTTAAGTTCTTAGGGAAAGTTGTGATGTCCCCTTTGCTTTTTTTAATATGCTTGCAATTTGTACTTCTACCTATTTATTCCTCTTATTCCCCCTACAGGTGTGGCACTACAATGAGTTTTTCTGAGGTACGAACCATGGGAGGCAGTGTAGGTACTGGTGTAGGCATGGGGGCAGCTAACCTGGGGCACCTCCCAGTTGAGGAAGTGGACCAGGCTGTTGTTCCTCCACCTCCCCCTCCTGCTGCAGCACCAGCACCACCACCAGCCGTGGGAGCACCCATGTTCAGCAGTTTCCAGACAGCCTCTCTCTCCTCCTCTCCTACAGGTTTCCCCCCCATCTCACGTCCAAACATTGTCAGCATGTGGGGTATTGGGGGCTTCACCTCACCAGCCCTCCCCACCCCACCCGCAGTCACACCAAATACCATAGCATCAACCCTTGGAAATCCCCAGATGCCCAGTGTGACCTTCTTCAATTCCAGAGCGCCAATGGGCTTCAATTTTAGGTGAGAGTTGTTGACTGATGGGGCTGAGTAATTAAGCTGATAGTTTTTGTAAAGGAAGCATGAGAGATATTATGACTTGAGATCAGAGTTGGATCATTAACCCAATGTTGCTGGGATGCCAAGAATACAATTTGGGAGGCGTGTGGAGATGTAGTATCTTTGTAGCATTTTCCGCTGTATACATATTGCTGACTTCATCATATTAAAAAGAATACAAATGGTCCAGTGCTTCATTTGAAATATGTTATATTTATCTGTAGCTTTACAGAGTAAATAAGTAGCTTATAAACTGTTCATAATGCCATCCTGTCTCCCTACCAAATTTTTTCAGTGCCTCCCCTGGAACCACCCAGGGGGATGGTACAACCCACTTTGAGAACCAATGATTTAAATCTTCAAGGAATTTTATTTGACCTTAGAAATGCATATTCAGTCACTTCTGTGTCATTGCATAATCGGCTGTAGTCCAAAATCTCTTAAAGAATGTATCAAGATATTTTATAAGTTTTAGAAATATGTGTAACTTATTAATATTCCCTAATGTAAGATGAAATATACATCTTGGAGTAGAGTTTATAGTCCTTACAAGAAACTTCTTAATTAAAGTCAATTTTCTTAATAAAATATGGTCATGACATGATGATGTACTCTGTAGAAGATGTGAAAATTTGCTATACAATTCCACTTCATTTGTATTGAAACTAGTTTGATTCACCTTTTAGCCCATTATATTTTGCTACAGTAAAGTGAAACATTTCGTGGCTGCAAAGATCATCAATCACACAAATGTGATATCCACAATTCTTTTATAACCGTGCTGATTTGATATGAAGTTGACATTTTGTTTAAACATAAAACTTTAAATAATGTCATCTCTCTCACTTCCAGAATGGCTGGGTCACATTTAGGCACTCCTTATGTTTACAAGC